CTGCAGAACTCTAGCTCTCTGTTGATAAAACCACAGTGCTATAGATCAAAGCAAAGTAAAAGCCTTCATTTTACAGTGAAGCATATTTGTCATTTGCTATAATAATTATTTCATGTATTACACGTATATAGATAGATCTCTTAAGCACAAATAACCATTATTCATACAGAGTTTTCTGTTAAAAATCTTGCTTTAATTTTTACAGAAGAGATAGAGATGGAGGATAGGGGTACCTCCCCTCCCCCTGATGCACGCCGCCAGAGCACCGCGATGTCTAAGAAGTTAGCGGAACATCCAGTGGTGGGGGAGTACCTCAAGGCTTATGAGGGCATTGTCATCTTTAAGGAGAACTTGTCCAGGGTCATGCAGGACAGAGGTTGGTGTTACATCTCTCGTAAGGTTCATCGATATTCTGATAAGAGAGACAACTCTTAATGACATTAAAATCTATTATTCCTTTATAAATTTGCCAAGTTGATGTGGTTTTTTGTCCAATTTTGCCCCGCAAGCTATGCTATAATTGTTTCAATTTTGTTAATAATTAAAATACATTTCTTTTGGAAAATCATTAAGATTCAAGCAGCATTTAATTTGAGTGAGCAAGAGGGTTTATGAACCTTAAAAAAACCAACTCTAACCAAAATTTGTCTTTGGGTGAACTAAGTGATTTCCCATGTACAGACTGTTTATCAATACATTTTTGCCCCCCCCCCCTTCCTCTTTTTTTGCCCTTATTCTTTTCAATGGGCACATTCTAAATGGAAGGGGTTGAATTCAAAAGAGACATACAGTCAAACATTATTATCTTGAACTATTCAGGATCAAAATTACATTTCCAATACACGAAAAGATGGAAATATGAAGGGTAGAAGGAAGGCATACAAAGAAAAAGTGGTTTGGGCTGTCAGCTTTCTTTGACATCTCCTTGGTATATATTTAAAAAATACTTGTTGTTCAAGATAACAAAATTTAACCATTTATACAGTCACTATATTTTCCTAAAGGATGGCTAATAAAGTCCAACTAGATAACAAGATACCATTTGGGGGGGGGAGGGGGATGCTGGTATAAACTATTTTGAACTTTCCTCTTCATTTTCTTCCATTTTCTTTTGATTTTATAAGAGTGAAGCTATTAATGACAGGTGTACAGGAGATGCTCACTCCTCCTTGGCACCTGATCCCACCTCAGTTTCCGTGGGTCCGTTATATGCCCTCTTTCAAGATTAGTATTTTTATAAAATTTTTAGGTCAATCAATGTTTGTTACCTTCAACTTCTTTCACATAAATACTTTCAGAGTTCCTCCAGGCTAGTGAGCTGTTGCAGGAATTGGACTCTGTCAAGTTTGACATGGAGGGCAAAGTACAGCCCCAACTGGAGAACATGACCAAAAACGTCTACTATAGTAAGTATATCAAAAGGGATGGATCCAAAGTATCATTGGGCAGACCCCTGCAATAATTTCATTCATTTTTGACATTTACTCTTGTTACATTATTAAATGAATGTGATATCAGATTGTATATACATGTACTTTAAGAGGTATGAATGAACATGCTGCTGTTAATTAACAAAACAGAGGAGCTTAAAATGTCTTTTATTCTAAACTTGTTTACTGAATGCAATGATTAAATTCAGCAGACTTTTTATCAAATTCCTGATCATAATTGTTGGTTCTAGTTTTGCAATGAATCGATTTGAGAGGCTTCTTATTTTACAGCTCTGGAGGAGATAATGAGTGTACTCAGCAGTATGTTGTACATCGAGCGTGAACCCTTAGTGTCCTCACTTAACGGAATGATGGTGTCTCGTGACCAGACTCGTAACTCCATCCAGCAGCTGGAGAGATCAGCGGACTCGGGGCGGGGTCAGACCGTCACCAGGGGGAGCAACCACTCACTGTCCACCAGGTTCCCCCAAAGTGCCTCGTCAGAGAAGGAGGCCTTCAAGGAGCTACAACAAAACTATGAGAGATTGTAAGTTTTCAGGGATGGATCTTTATTGGTGGGTAATGTATAATGTTAACTTTATATGTCAAGAGAAAAGGAATATTTGCTTTCTTTAAACAAAATTGATGTATTGTAAGGTTCTTGACTAATGAGAATTTCCCACTTTACAGGCATAAAAATTTTGTTATCTTGTATGATGTTTTGATATAATTGTAGGTAAATCTTGATAGGGCCATAATAAAAATATTCCTAGATTCTCATCCCCGCCCGCCCCGATTTTATACCCCCGCCTCGATTTTTTTTATTTCTGTTTTTCTTCGTCTTAATTCTGATCGGGATCGGTATTCATCTACCATTCTACTTTCGTTTTAAATCCCGCGAATGTCAACATGATTTTGACAGCTGAAAAGATGGTAATTGCGGTAATACATGCGTATATATTTTAAACAAGGGTCATTGGTTGAAAAATATTGGAGATGATGTGAAGTAAGAGATAACTGAACCTTTACTATGACTTTTATTTGGGTATTGTAGATAATTACACCGATTGACCAGGTCAATAAAAAGTCTGCAAAATTGAAAAAATAAAAAATATAAAATAAAAGCCGCCCGCCCGCCTCGATTTTTAAAAAAATTCGGATGAGAATCTAGCAATTTATTTATTATGGCCTAGAATAAGCTTTTATTTTTTAGGCAACTGCAATTGAATGAGGAGTCAAAGAAACATGAAGAACAAATGAGGTAAATATAATTATATTACAACTAAAATTAAATACAGGCAGAGACAGGCCATTTTGATAAAAAAGAAATATCAGAACAGAGGTGTATGGTTGGACAATCCATTATAAAGGGAGATCATCTCATTGGCAAGTGTTTTTGAATTTCAAAAACTTTTTACCTACCCTTTTTTTCTCCATCGTGAGTTGAGAGAGGACAGCCAAACAATTTTTTTTAAGATGGCCTTAATATGATTTTAAGTATGGCACCAAAAATTATCTATAGTCTTAAATTTCAATGAAGAGTCTAATGAAATTTGAGATTTTATTACACTTTATTAACAGAGTGTAGTATTTGTGCATGATAATATTTTTTATTATTTCCCCAGACACAACACTGTGGTTATGATGGAGATGCAGGACACCATTAACGAGTTACAGCGAGAGTTAAATGCCCTTGGTAGAGCGTCTGGCCAGGAGAGGCCGCCATCTGACGGAGTCCAGCAGGTATGTATTTTATTTGTTGTTCTTTCTCGTAAGAATTTTAGTATCATCACAATTATAATGGAAATATTTTCATCAGATAAGAGGGAAAAATCTAGAAATATAAGAAATGAATTTAATTTTTGAAGATTCATGAGGTACATGAACTACAACACTTCACACTGGCATATTTATCATGAAGTGCTAACACAGAAAAGAGTACTTCTGAATCAATGTACAGTATTTAATATCTTTAATTACATTTTAATTACTATAGTACAGCTCAATCTACTTTAATACTATCATCATTACTCCCCAGGCTCCACCAGAGTCAGCCATTATGTTCACCAGACTGGATTCTGAGAGGAATGCCAAAATCATGAAGCGGGCGGTCAATGACGAGAAACTGGATGTCAATAAGTACAAGGTAATATTAATATCAAAGATAGACAACAGATTCAATACAGTAAAACCTGTAAAGTGTCAGGATTGGGCATTTCTGCTTTGTTTTAAATGCAGTTCATTATGTCTGTTAATTTCACATTAATTTTTTAAAACAACAGGGAATGAAAATAACTCTTCTTGAAGTGTAAATTAACTTTTAAGTGTTTCCTAAAGTGGGTTTTACTGTACTGACAATGACCAACTTGCTAGATGTGATATTACTGACAGCGCAAAGTATTTTCAAGACCTCTGTTCTTTTGCCTGAATAGAAGGGTTCAAACAGCAAAGCATCAGATCATACATTGGACTTGTTCAATTTTGACATGGATTTCTTACATAAGTTATGTTATTTTATAGGATGCTGTAACAACCATGGATGAGTATGTGAGTCTTCCAGCCAAAAGACTGGGTCACCTTGTCAGGAAGTACGTCCATCACAGCAGGATGAAGGAGATCGAAGGTAAAATGTCCTGTCTCCATAATGAGTAATGCTAAAGTGAAAATAGAGAGGACTTTTGATCAGGAGAAGTGAAAGTAAAGAGGATCTTTAATTATTTATTCATAATATATCATCACTAAGTGTTAGGATATAAACTTAACTTCTGAAAAAAACTTTCAAATTGGTATTAAAATTTAACCAATGTGAGAGACAGAAATCACCTATAAGCAATCAGTTATATGCTTTAAGAGAATCCTGCAGTTTATAAAAAGGATCTTTTTATATGTAGATTTAAAAAGTGAGATAATGATATGTGAAGCACAAGTTGCTTAGATAAATACAGGTAACTCTCGAAACCTCGAAGTCCGCGGGACCGAGGAAAAACTTCGAGAGATCAAGAGTTCGAGTTTTCAAGAGTCCGGATTTTTCCGGGTTTGTTTGACAGGTTTTAAAATTAGTCATACCGGATGTAATGATTTTTATGCAGTTCTTACCTTTTACACTTGGTTTTTACAAAACAACGATATGTTTTTGTATTTTAAGTGAATATTTATTAAACTGAATAAAGCAAAAAAAGTACATCGTCAGGTCGTGTATTTAGGGCAAACTGACCATGGTTCGGACAGACAAAAAAATTGACCTAGGTTCGGACAACTTTACTTTTATTTTTTTCAGTTAAATAAATCTGTTTTTCAGAATAATACGGAAATATTTCAATCTCGGCGATCGGATTTTTTATTTAGTCAACACCCCGTGTTTATCACGTGACTCGATACTTAGTGATGGCGCTACGATTTTAGGGCATGTGTAGTTTGTTTTACGTCAGTAGTTTAAAGGAAAAGTAAACACACACTTGCAAGTAAAATCAAGTGAATGAGGCTCAACTTTATTAAACAAGTATGAATTATTTCTTTTGCGTTTCTAAATGATTAATCCTTCCTATTAGTCAAAAATTGTACAAGTTATTTTTTTTTTATTTGTTGTAAAATCTTCCTCGAAGTCTGAAAATTAAATGTACCTAGGTTCGTACACCAGATGACCATGATTCGTACATTGTGGAAACCAAAGTTCAAGCTAATTTAAAAAAAAAAAATCGGAGAGTCAATAAATTACGTGATTGATATTCAAAGCACACGGATAATAATATTGTTTTTAAAAAATCATACTTCATGTAACTATAAAAAAAAATGTATATATATATTTTAAATGTACATATATGTACAGGTATTTTCAATCGATCAAAATGAGGATGGGCTCCTCAAACATATATGATATTATTATATGCATTTTTCAATTTTTTGATATAATAAAATTAATTAATTTAATTGATTGAGTAAATGATGTTTAATAAATTGAAATTTAAACCAATTTATTAATCATAAATAATACTATAAAATTTCTAGCATTTAAAACAAATTCCTATATAGCTCCAAGAATTTTTTATTGGTCTAGAAATGAACAAGTGTCGGTTACATCTTTAATTAATACATAGACTTCTTAATTGTAGATTTCTTTTACAATGAAATAATAATCCTTAGAACAAAAATGGAAAACGTCATACTTATGGATGTGTATGGTCTCAGTATATATACATTACATGTATTTGGGTGCTAGATGACTAGTGTATTATTTGTTCAAAACATGAACGCAATAATCAGAAAGACATGTATTGATGCTATTGCAGTTTATGAAGATCGTACACTGACATGTAGAGAAAAGATTTTATCTTCGCCGTGCGCATTCGTCTTTTCTTTCTTTAGAACGAAAATTAACTGAGGATCAAGCCAACCTGCGAAAGGTGGAAGAAAGTTGAAGAAATCACCCCGAGCAAAAATAAATTGCATTTCAATTCGAACAACTTGTCGACAGCCCAAAAGTAATAATTTAAAACTCATTGTTTGTAATTTAAAAAAAACCCCAGAAAACAGATATTTTTCATTTCTTTTTTTATGGAAACAAAAACAAAAGGATAAAGGTTATCCTGACAATGATCAATTCTTAAGGGTGTGTCAGCATGTCATTAAACAAAATCCTTGGACCTCAGGTATATATTCGAGGAGAGGGGGTGTTACTTTGTAACACACGATACCTTGTCACAATACTAGAAATGGTATAGATCTATACCTATACGAATCCCTCTTAGTACCATTAAGCAAGAGACGATGCCAAGCCCAAACTTTCCCTTGAAGAAGACGAAAAGATTGAATCTAGCTGAGTACAGAACACGAACTTGCAAACAAAGAAATCAGATCTTCTAGAGCAAAACTAGTGTATATTTGTTTTGCTGGAATATGCGGTGGTATTTGAAACAAAATGGTGATTTCGAGTGAAACATGGCCTTCCAAATATGCATTGAGAGAGCAAGAACTAGCGAAATAAATAAAATTTAAATACAATTATATTTTAAATTCCACAATCTCAGTCTCGTTTTTTGGAGGAAACCTTCGACATATTTGAGGTTACAGTCGAAGAAAATTGGAGGGGTGATCAAGCAATAGAAATGGTTTCTTTAATAATAATTTTCAGTGTATTTTCATTGCAAATTACAGACGAACTCAAAATATTATCAGTTGCTTGAAGCTCTCTCAAAACGTAGTTATCAGAGTTGATACCGCTGACTACGGCGATGATTTCTTACTGAAGTTGAAACTGCGATATAACCCCAAAATGACGAAACTTTTGTCACCATACGTCATTTGATACTTATAAAGACAAACTAGAACACAAAAAGGGGGAAAGATAGATAAAGAAAAAGAGATCTAGTTTAAAATGATAAAAAAAACAGTTTTTTATTAGGAATGGAAAAGATATGATTAAAATCTTATTGGAGGTTTCTTATTATACCATGCGGCTCTATATGTAGTATTTGAAAGAAATCAGACACGTACTATCGATTTCGAAGGATTTGGGAGAGAAATCAGAAAAAATAAAATAAAATAAACAACTTATGTGATAAAACTTTGACAAGAAAAGAAAAATCAAAAAAAAAATCAAGCAAAGGAACGACCCCAAAGAAAATGAAAATGCCCCTGGAATATCTTCATTTAAAAGTCTTTTAAATTCTTATTATTGTAAAAAAGGTAAGGAAATTTATCATTTTGGAATAAGAAAGTACAATATAATACATTGCCAATTGCGAAATAATGCAAGTAATTTAAAGGCAGACTTATATAACCAATTTTTATCAGAAACACCAATGTGTGAATACTGTATTGACTCTGTTGAAGATGCTCATCATTATTTTTTTGCTTGTCCAAAATATAACTCTCCAAGAAATGTACTTTTCCAAACAATTCAAAATATTATTGATTGTGATCAAACTCATGAACTTGATTTACTTTTGTATGGTAGTCCCAATCATGGACTAAATATTAATACTCAAATATTTGAAGCAGTACATGCTTTTATCGCAGCAACCAAACGTTTTATTTGAATTGTAATGTATGTTACTCATGCCAACACTTTATAACCGGTACATGTATTTCATTGTAAATTTATTTTTTCTCTCTCTTTCTACTTTTTTTTTCTCTTTTGTTTTTGTTCTTTTGTTTTTGTTACTATGTTTGTCTATTTATTTTTATATCTATATATTGTGTGTTCATTTTGACCTTGTAGGGAGAGGGCTAAAATAGGCTTTGCCTGCTGCCCAATCCCATTCACTTATGTGAATAAAATTTTGTATAAATAAATAAAGAAAATGGTCCAAACTCGAAAGCGGGTCAAACTTTCTTTCACTTTTAAATGTTATCAAATTCCGGAATGCATTACCAAACACTAAGATGTATCAATGCTACAACAAAAGAAGGGGCAACTTTCAATGAATATCTATAATTTTATATTTCATTAGAAAAATGTTATGTTTTAGAAAAAGGGGGGGGGGGCTCTCGCTACTACGAGCCTGTAAATATTGCATATCTTATTTAAAAAAAACAACAACATTTGTTTACTGTATATTATCATGTCCGAACCTTGGTCAGATACGTTCGAACCATGGTAAAAATCGCTTGATGAGTTTAACTTCTAGTTGGAACAGAGTAATTTAGTGTTTTGGTGATATATTGACAATTAAAAAAACCCGAAAGGTTCCGAAACACTTCCCAGTTGATAGTAAGAGTCTAGACCAATGTCACTCGGAACAACAGCTTATTGCTTGTAAGCAAAACAAGAACCGTCCGAACCATGGTCAGTTTGCCCTAAATTTTTTTTTTAGCATACGGATATCATTCTACTCATTCGTTATATGAAAACGGCATAGACCAGCGTCGCGTGGTACATAGCATTGTGACTTTTCCAAACATGTGCATTGATTTAACGAAATTCTGTATGTATTTGTCCACAAAAAGTCGTCATATTGACAGCGAGGCTGTTTCTGAATTTTCATATTTCGTTAAACTTTGAAACTGATTCGAAATAAAAATTTAATTCATTAATTGTTTCGTCTCGTAATCTGCAATTACAGTTTCTCAGCGACACTACGTTTCTGAATTATCGTAATACAGACGATGATAATTATTTTGATAGCATATAGGCACCATAAGATTAATTATAAATCAATTATCACCTTGTAGAATAAGTGTCACCTGAATAAACATCCCGTTTCTCGAGACCCGCGTCTTCTGCCTGGGGTCATTAAATGTCCAGGTAAAGTTGCTAATTATGTAACTTTGTATACACATAGCCACTTCGAGGTATCAAGGGTGAATTCCAATAGAATATGCACAGCGGGACTGCAATTTTACTTCGAGAGATCAAGGGTTTCGAGAGATCAAGAGTTCGAGAAATCAAGAGTAAATTTGCTTAGTTATATAGGGAAAAATTTCGGGACCGGAGACTCACTTCGAGCGATCAAGAACTTCGAGAGATCAAAGTTCGAGCCATCAAGAGTTACCTGTATGTTTTTGGTTTTTCAGAACATGTTAAACAGAGTAAAAGTTTGGATGAAAATGTTTTCGAAATTTTGGACAAAATGGAAGGTCTGCAGAATAAGGTAATTATAAGCATTGATATACCTTCCATAAAAAGACTTATCTTAACCCACTTAATTTCAAGTATAATTTTTATAAAAAAAAAATTCTTGCATGTGACTTTAAATTTTCAAAGGAATCAAATTTGAAGTTAAACTGTAACTTGATAAGTGCACACAATGATTGACTTGACCAATCCTATTTCTACAGAGAGCTAAGCGTTGGGCAGACAAGATGGATGGTATGGGATCAGAGCGTCTACGTCTTGCCAATCTCTTGATGGAGACATTAGATTCTATAGAGCAGGAATCTGGGATATTCCTCATCAAACCCATGTACTCATACAGGGGGAGGTAAATAGAACCACTTTTATTATTTTAAAACTGGTACAAGGGAGGTAGCTGGAAAAGCGTATCATACACATGTACAAGAGAGAGGTTGGTGAGAGGAAATACTAAATACAAAATAAAAAAATAAATGCTAATACCTAAGAAAAAGAGTGTAACGTTTTGACCATTCACTGTTGCGATTCCCTTATTTGGTTGCTAAAGTGTATTAAAACAAATTATGATGAAAGAATAATGGTAATCTAGAATAATTTCTGGTAAATTGTTAACAAGGTATGATATATATATTCTGTTCAAGTATTATCATAATTAATTTTTTACCTATATTTTTTTTTCAGTGATAAATTGTTAATGTCTAATAGCTATATGTAGTAATGGGAACTAATTTTTTAATATACATTTTTGTTCACACAGTCCACTTGACGTTGATTATACTGAATTGTTGGCGTAAGATGCATGAAGAAATCAAAATATCATAAATAATTAAAATACCATGTATCATTTGATTAAATGCTTTTGATTCTAACAAAAATGCAAATTATATCCATGTATTAATAAAATTTTGTTCAGTATCATTTCATTTTTGATAATATGATAAAAATATATAATAGATTCTGTATATACCCAGCTTTGTGATCTGGTTATAATGGTTCTGAAGGTGATATATTAAAGGGTTTTTATCACGCATCATGATTTTTTGATATAACAAAGTTTATATGCTATTAAAATCATCCATCAAAATTTTTTGGTTAGAAAATTAATATTTTGGTTGTTTCAGAGATTCAAAGTTTAAATTTCTCAATATGCATATTTTGATCGCCGATGTTGCGCGCCATTGCTCTGACGTCATAGGTGTCAGTCCTGCTCAAGCGAAGTACTTATTGTGTTTACAAAACGACCCAATGGCTTCGTCTATAAACCCTACTAGTAATTAAGAAATGATAATTGGTTAATCAATAGATATTTATAAATAATTTGTGGCGTTTAGATGAAAAATCAGCACAGGAAAGGTTTTAGGAAGTTTCTTTTACCTGCCAGGGACTTGGTCGGTGCGAGGATTTGTCTATATATTCAGAGCATTGGTTTATGTACGATCAAAATTTTTCTGTATTATATAAAATATATATTTAATGGAAATAGTATTTTTTTTCAAAAAAAAAAAATCAATATGCATTTAATGCACAAAGACTAGTGTTGTGAAGCTCGTAATGGCGTACCATTGCGTACGGCCCATTGAATATCGAAGTGTCCTTTCTATCAAATGATGTTCATTGCTGGAACAGATAGAAGATACACAAGATCTGTTTATGTATAATTTATTAAAATAACGAAGAAAGAAAACGTATGACCATTTTTATAATTATTTAAGAAGTCAAAGGTTAATAATTCGATCTATTTAGTCGAAGCCACAGGAGTTGTCAACGGCTTCGTCTTCAATGCCTTCTCCTCTTTTCACGGTGTGTTTATTTTTATGCTGTAGAAGTTAAAACATATAAGATTGAGCATCCATAGCCAAAGTAATATTGTCAATATCAAAATTTCTTTCAACCTAGTGGTGTATTCTTTTTATTTCAGGCAAATATCTATACGGTATAGATGTTTTCTTACGATACGCTTTACGAGGTCTAATTGCCCATTGACACCTATGACGTTTCAGTACCACGTGACCCCTATCTAATTAGTGGAGATTTTCAATCTGAAGACCCTACATTACGGACGTATTATGGCTTAAATACGACAGTTTAAAGCATTATTTTATGATTAAACGATAATTATATGTTTCAAGAATATAATAGTGTTTAATTTTTAAGAAATTTCTATGCGTGATAAAAACCCTTTAAAGATAAGATAATAAAATTTGAAATTGAAATTAAACAGATACACAGTAGGAACACTGAATTTGGAACGGTAATTACTGTGAAGCAGAAATATTTAATATCATTCTGCAGTTTGTTTCCTGTCACAAAAATGATAAAGCATTCACACAAATATGAAGTCTAGCACAAGTATGACCATTTGTACACATGATATGAAATCATATCTCTGGCATGATTCACAATGAATGTCACATTTTCCAACAAAAGAAAAAAATCTGAAAAACAAATAGTAACCTGCATTTCTTTTTATGTACCTTCATTTGCATACAAAAGATCAAGAAAAATTAATGTTTGTAGTCCATGCATGTTTATGCACTAAATTGACTCGGTTCATCCTGTCAACCATGATATTATAAACTAATGTTGCACATATCAGTTACTTCTCATTGCATGGCAAATACAATATATCAACTTTTGTTTTATTCAGAAAAATATACACATATAGAACCTGTAACCTTCTAAAACATAATTTTAACAAGAATTTCACTCTATTGTTCATAATTCAATAGGTGCTAGATCATGATGGTCATGAAATAAATTGAAAACAAAAATTGTAAGGAATTATAAAATAAATGGTTTTATTCTATTGGATAATACATGGAGAAAATCTAATTGTAACTTGTAAGGAATTCTTATACGTAATTTTACCAGCTGGACTAACACATGGAGAAATCTGACATAGCTTTATTGTTCTGTTTTTACAGGGAGATTAAGGAGAGGTACGCCAGTAAACTGAGTCGTCCAACACGCCCACACAGAGTTATCTCCCCCTCACGAGAGTTCAGCTCTTTCGCCCCCGCCCCCACCCCCGCCTCCAACATCAGGGGTCTGACTCGACAGATACAACAAGTAAGGGAATAAATGGAAACCATAACGCACTGATAATTACGATATTAATTAAAAAATAGAAGTTGGATACATGTACATATTAAAAACTTAAAAGGATTTCCTTCAAGGAAATTCTGTAGAACATTTTATTTTTACGACACCTTATTTTGATGAGATATTTATATTAAAATTATTTTTTTTCTTACCAGACAAGTGACCCCCCACAGCAGGCGTTTTTCAGGAGGGAGATTCCCCGCCCCCTTGAGGGGGACGAGACGGGACTGATGGGGTCCCCTGCACTGGCTAATTTTAATACTGCAGTACAACGACAGACATGGAATGTAAGTAACAAATGGATTTATTAATTGTTCATTTTCATTTCCAATAATTTTCTTAAAAAATTCTTCAACAAAGAGGAATTTCACTTAATTAGAATGAACAATACTTGCTATTGACGATCTAGAAAATTTGCGGAGGAATACGTTTTGGATTCAGTATGACTGGAGATTAATAATGCTTTTCCTTTCATTATTTTCAGATGAACACTTCTTTGGCTAGGGGAGACCCTTCTGATCTGAATGCCATGAATACACCTCGAATCCTAGAGCTTGATATAAACAGAATGCTGATTGGCCAAAATACTATCAGGTAATATCAGAGCAAAAGATTTTGATTGGCCCTTTCTAAATTGCAAGTTTTTCGAATTGAAAGCATTCATTTGGCTGCTGGTTATGCCTCTTCTTGAGAGAAAACATAGTAAAACAACTGACAGAAATTGTACATATTTTGAAGATTTAAAAATTACAATCAACATTTGGATGATCTTGAGTTGATTTTGAATCCTTGTTTTATTTTCAGTTCTAAGTATGGATCCCCAGGCCTGACTGATGACAGGTTGATAAACGCCTCACAGAACAACTTAAGATCCTACGTCACTGTCAACCGACCAATGGTCAACTCCACACGACCAAGGTCATTTACTGGTAAGCTATTTGTAGACAAATTATGTGATTGCCGATCAGATTTATTACTTTGATGAAATGAAAATTGTCTCAAGGCCAATAACATAGAAAACAACTTTTAATAAGTAACTTTGAGTGCATAATTGTGAGAAAAGTGGTGATACAATTCCAAGACTGTAAAAAGAAAAAAGTGAGTCAGTATAGTCATCAAGTGAAGTTATTAAAAAAAATTATTGAAATTCTATTCCTCTAGGTACAAAGGAAGTTCCAACGACCACCCCTGTATCTCGCTCAATCACCTCCAACAGTGCGGGAAACAAGCGAGTACGACTCAACGAGTCTGAGATGTCAAACCGACACTCCATACCCAGCACCCCTCCTTTACCTCCTATCTCCACCCAAGACACAATAGAACAGGGACCCTTTAAAGGTAAGCGAAAAATCACCAAAATGCTTTGCCTTTTTCTTTTTTCTTAATGAGAAAATTAAAGGTAGTAGGTGAAAATCAATTTTTAAGTGTTTAATGAATGAGCATTGATGCCACACATACATGTTATGTATAAATTTACTCTTTACATCAAATTTGATAAGGGCTGAGAAAAAACCTTGAGATATAAAATTATTTGAGATATTAGGGGTTAAACAGTTTAAAAAAAACATTGATTGGAAGATCCACATTTCATTGACATATCCAGGATATTCGAGATTTTGACATTGGAGACACCCATGATCAACTGTTTCCCCAAAATGCTTTGTCTCTCTTTCTCTTTTCATCATGTAGGTTAATCCTCAATAAAAATTAAATCATTCTGACTTGTTTTTTCACAAGAAATATTTTGATATACAATAGATTTATATAGAACCATTTATTCTAACAAAGACCTCATTGTCCATGAACTTTTTGGACAACCCTCTTATATTGAAGTGTTTGGTCAGTGAGCATTGTCTGATTTACCTCTTTATTTTGTAGAACCCCCAAGGAGCCCCCCAGGGTCATCATTACGAGGGTCTCCTACCCCCAACACCCACATTAGGGAGGTCATATCACCACTGAAATAGACAAATATAGAAAAAAAAACAGACTGAAATAGACAAAAAATTGACAAGCAGTTCACATGTACTAAGCAACATCTTAAAGCTTGAATGAATGGATCCGATACTTCTTTTCTCTGTGGAATTTTGCTGAAATATACTTCAGCAATTACAATAGATGCTGGCTTTCTGACATGATGGACTATTTTAGTTGATGAAGGATAATACTTTTTGAGGGTGAATAGTTTCATGTGATTGATTGATTTTTTTTACATGCATGACCTTCTAGTTAAACTTTTGAAGTGAGTAATGTGAAATAGGCATGGCTAGACTATGAATTTTGAAGTTTGTATTTTGGTTGACACATTTAGCAACATTGTTTATTAGCCTAGTAATTGATTAACATTGACCTTAAAGGTCAAATATGAAAAATCCAGGCTACTTTGTTTTATTTTGGAATGGAGTCTTGTTTGCTTGTTTGTTAAATATGTTATTAATAAAAAACAAAATATGCATAAGAGAACTTATTCTTGAAAGTTTACAATAGTGCTAACTATGTAAATGTTTTTGGTAGTTTAAAAACTTCTTGTTTTTGTTAAACACATAAAAAATTTTTTAAAGATAGCTTTTTTTGATTTGAAAAGAGCCGTCCATTCATTGCTCAGTTTAACTTGTTTCATTCAAGATTAATACCTGTACAATGTCATTAAAGTTTTTATGAAAACTAATATTATTTTGATTATCTTGATATTATACTTATTTTTTTTTTAATCAGTATTTCAAGAAGTATTGTGATCTTTTTTGAAAACAATTTGAGAATTGTGCAGATGTTATGTTTATAAATATTTTATATTTATTTTATTTTGTTTTTGTCATAATTATATATTTTTAAATGAATGAAGATACTGTGATATTAATAGCCACACCAAGTTCACCTTAAAATTATTTTTTTAATTCTTCACAATCACTGAATTTGAAAGTGTCATGAATGTTTATCTAGGAGTAGAATATTGACCATTCAAAACTATGGTTATTTCATAAATATTCAATTTTCAAAGAAATTGTTGAAATTCTGTGAATGTGTGACTATGACTATTATTAGCTGCCTTGCCATGCTTTGATGAACTATGTATGAATAACTATAAAACATTCTTAATACTGTGATAAATCTTTTGTCTGTTAAATAAATACATTGCTAATTTGAATTAAGTATTGTGGTGTTTCATTGTAATAGATAGACAAGTGTATGGTGAAGACAGATAAAATATTGGTAACACTAACTAGGAGGGGTTATCAAAAAGTTCGAGGACTGAGGCTATAAAATTAGTACTATAGAGTCTGCTTTTAAAAAAATTATGGAACATAAAGCAACAAAAAAAAAAGAAATGGTGAAAATTTTAGCCTCATACGTTCATTTTTTGCCAAATTATTATAAAGTGAAAACGACAGTATATGATCACCCGGCGCTGTTGTCGTTTATTTTCATGACGTCCGCTAACGTCTATGTTTTTTCAATGCCCGCTTCTTCTACCTCATACACTGTTTTGATGAGATTCCCTGGAGCTGAGTAAGAGTTAAACCTGCCTTGTTTATATGATTTTCCAATGTCATGAACAGTGGCCTTCAATGAATATAATATTCCAAATGGATTAATACACTTGGAGAGATCCTCGCTTGACTGTGCCGGCATTGTTGCTTTTTGGAGTTGAATATCTACAACACATGATCAACGTCATTTTTTGACGAGATTGATTTTTCACACCTTGACTGCAAATCAACATCAACTGTGTATCCCTTTTCTATCTGAAACTATTTTGACATAAAAAAGACAAGTACTCTGGATGCATATTATTTCTCTGTAGCCAGTTTTAACAAATTTTAGGTCTATTCCAGTTTTTTCAGGGGCAAAACTTTATAGAATGTTGGAAACGGAAACCCCTTTCTTCTTAAAACGTCATTTTCAAGGCCTCATTCGTTTGGACATTCCGTGTAAAAATTACGATTCGATAACATTTCATAGAACTTCCAGAATAAAGTGAAAATTTTATATTTTATGGATCAATTGTGTCCCGACACATACCTGAAGTAAAGTGATTTTTAAAACAGTTTTCTCAGTTACACATAGGTCGCAAAACCGTTATGTTCGGGGTTGCGCCGCCTGGACATACCATTGCTTACAAAAACATTACTAATTTATTAAAATACAAAATTTATAATTTATGGTTTATTCTGTAGAAAGAAAAGATGATGCTTACTAGATATTTTAAGGATTTAGATGTATAACAGGGCACTTCCGGTAAAAATGACGGCGTTTGCCGATGATTGCCATTAAAATTCATTGATGTACCTAAAACGGTTTTAAATTTATGACGCTTGTCCACGAACTTTCTGATAACCCCTCGTACATTACATGAATTTCTATGCACCAGTAATACAAAATTTTGGAATATAATTACAGTTTTTTCCCTGTCCATCCTTCTGTTTAGCTGTTGCAAAAACTTTGCCCATAATGTTTGGTGTGTTGAAACTATGGTTTTCCTATTTCACATGTGTATTCTTGTGATAAGGACATCTTGAATATCGACAACTTTGACCTTTGAGGTATAATCACTTCTGCAAAAATTTACCAATCGTTCACCTTGGTCATAACCTTTGAACAGTTGGTGCTTTCATATTTCTTTTGCGAATGTCACAGAGAGCGCATGCACGTAGCATCGATTTTGAAAGGGGGCGGGCAGCCACAGAAATTTTTTTTTACTTACCTGAAAAAAGTTGAAAAGCCCCCCCCCCCCCCCAAAAAAAAAAAAAAAGTTAAAAAAAAACCAATATTTTTTTCCCTCAAAGTCGAAAATCCTGATTCGTGGGGGGAGGGGGGCAAACTTTTTTCACTACCAATTCCTTTCCATATCCAATTTTTGAAGCTTATATTTCATTCATATTACTTTACCTAAGTATAAAGGGGGGGCAAACAGACTTTTAATGTATATTTCCAATAGTAAAAGTAGTGTTGTCAAAAAAAGTGGGCGGGGGGGGGGGGCTGCCCCCTCCCCCTTTTGCTACGTGCCTGCAGCGGTCATTGATACATGTAAATAAAACTTTAAAGAAGTCCAAAACAGAACATTAAACTATTTTCGTCTTGATACAATATCAAGAGATGAGGATGTCGTGGTAAATCATCAATGAAAGAGAGATCTGCTGTCAGGATGGGGAAACGTTTAAGTTTCCTAATTGTGCATGGTACAACATGAAGGTCCACCGATAATTGTTGATAAGCTTAGTGTACTTCGGTCCACCAAGGTAAAAAGGTTGGTGTCGAACCCTGTTATGTGATGTAAAGAAGCAGGAAACTTGAGGATTGATTGAGATCAAGACCTCCAACTATTTAGAATACCTATAATGGATTTTAATAGTTTCTCTTGAAAAGCAGACCTTTTTTGTATTCATACGAAACAGACAATATTATATAATATAAATTATTTTTTTCAAGTACTAGTATACTTGGGCATAATTTAAAAAGTCTTCTTTTGAGATTTACATGAATCAACCCTAACAAAAAGATACTATAGTAAACTATAGTTAACTATAGTTTACTATAGTTAACTATAGTACCAAAGTTATAACTTTTGAACTTTGATTTACTATGGTGAAAACTTTGGAACTTTGATTTACTATGGTGAAAACTTTGGAACTTTGATTTACTATGGTGAAAACTTTGGAACTTTGATTTACTATGGTGAAAACTTTTGGAACTTTGATTTACTATAGTAAAAACCTTGGAACTTTGATTTACTATAGTGAAAACTTTGGTACTTTGATTAAGCACTATAAACCCTTAAGATTATGGTTTTGCTTCCCATTCTGTACATTATATAAATTTCAAGTTTAAAATTCATTAAAACTTCAGAATTTTTTTTTCAAAAACCCAAATCGGCCCCCAAATAGAACAAAGTACAAGAAATTGTTTTAATGTAAAAATAGTCTCTTTCATCGATAAATAAGCAGTATTTATTTAAATATATTTAATTTTAATTATAAATAATTATATTAATAATTAAAATATTGAAGTTGTTAAAGTAACTACAAAAAAACATTGGAACTTTGATTTACTATAGTAAAAACTTTTGAACTTTGTTTAACTATTATAGTAAAAACTTTGGAACTTTGAAAAACTAAGTTATAAACTTTGAAACTTTGATTTACTATCCTGAAACTTTAGAACTTTGATTTACTGTGGCGAGAACTTTGGAACTTTGATTTACTATGGCGAAAACTTTGGAACTTTGATTTACTATGGTGAAAACTTTGGAACTTTGATTTACTATAGTAAAAACTTTGGAACTTTGATTTAATATGGGAAAACTTTGGAACTTTGATTTACTATGGTAAAAACTTTGGAACTTTGATTTACTATGGTGAAAACTTTGGAACTTTGATTTACTATAGTAAACTATAGTTAACTATAGTTTACTATAGTTTTTTTTTTAGGGAAAGAAAAATATTTAATATCATTTCTTCGAGACAAGTGTTCCATATTAGGATATTTTACTAGAAAGGACATTAATGGTAAAAGAAAACTTTAATGTAATGACTTCATTTTTCTCTGATCAACTTCCTTTTTTATGTAGCCATACATCTTTATCAAATGCATATGTACTTTATGTCCACAACTGATTTGACATACAAGAACTTATCTTCGAAAGAAAATTAAAACGGGAAAAGCTACCGACAAAACAATTTGATAAAACTAGAATATCAAGAATATGTCGTTTTGCCATTGTTTTTGGTCGTCACAATGGCCTTATCAGCAAAGACGGATATTCCTCATACTAAACGTTAGGTCATTCTTTACTTTCTGAATTGACTAAGGATTAATTTTTTTTCTTGATTATGACAGGGAGCTCACGGTGGGTGTGGCCGGTCTACCAGTTCCATTATTAAGATTTGTATCATTTGTAAAGGTCTTTGTTAATTCTGCTCCCGTTCGGTATTGTCTCAATGATCTTAAGCTTGATTGATGTTCTTTATCTCAATATTAATTTTAATACCATCCCGAATTTAAACGAGAACATAAATATTCGATTGTGTTGCTTTAATTTTCCTTAAAGTTACAGTGTAACACACATTGAAACACACATATCAATTAAAGATACCAGGTAAATAGAAAAACAAAGAAAATTGAAAGCAAATATTTACACATTAATAAATGGCACGCATATAACTGGAAAAATATTCTAAAAAAAATATAATGATTACAGAATATCAAACATACTTAATCAATGTTCAATTTCCTTCAAAATAAATCACTTTCATCTGAGGACATCGAAACTTTTTCAAACTCAACTTCTAGATTCTTCTTTTCTTTCAGTAGGTTTAGTGCAGAGTCCATTCGGAAACAGACAGCCAATTCATCGCGTGATAGTCTCCTCAAATTATCGTCGTCTCCTTGATCAAAACTGCCCAAAGATGCAAAGGCCCCTTCACTGTCTTCGCTCACTTCTTCTGGTCTTTCTTCTAACCGAGAGTCCTTATCTTGCGTGGCTTCTGGCGTGGTCTCGGAATCGTTATCATCGTCAGCATTGAGGCTGCGCACGGTTCCCATAAGCATGCCAAGAATATGAACATTTTCTTGATCAACTGAATTATCAGGTGCAAAAACTATGGACCCACTATCCCCTGGCTCGCAAAATTTCCCGCCTTTTCCTAGGACAAGGAACACATCATCTCTGTTACCAAACCTTTTTACCACAAAGCTGTAGCACTGAATGCGACCGTCTGTCCAACCTGTTGTCGCGCCTTTTTTATGGACGTAGTCCATTGTATTTTCTAAAGATTCAGTATACACTGCTGCATTACATTTTTGTTTCTCGGATCGCATGAAAGCAAGCTCGCAGTTTTCTTTGATGTAGTTATCACTATCTACTTTAACAACAGAAAAATCAATAAAATTATGTATTCCCGAAGGATTAGTAAATATACAAGATCCGATTTTACAAGATACAGAAGGTTCTTTCAATTTGCCATAAGCAGGCATATCAAGACACGGGAAAACATGTCCACATGTTAAAATATATATGTCCTCGAATGTTTCCTTATTTCTCACAAAAGCACCTATAGTTGCATGTGATGTGCTTTCACCTAAGTTCGACGAATGAGTTGTATTATCATTTTTGCGAAATATTTCATCGCCTTGTTTTAAACATATGTTAAATGTGATATTGTTTGCAAGAATTTTAAGTTTGGTTTTGCGGAAAAATACTCCGTCAATATTCTCTAGTTCTGCTTCGAGTGCGTCTACTAGCATTGCATCTTCAACAAAAACTTTCAGATTTCCATTTCTCCAAAGTCCAAAAGCATTCACTCCCCGTCTTCTGTAAAAAAAAGAAAAATCTTGAAATTGAATTACGATAAATAAAGATAAGAAATCCGAAATTACCATTTGATATTAACTTTTATACTAGAATTTTAACCTGCTTAAATGATCATAAATTTCTCGTGGAACTCCATGTTTATAATTTGGCTGCTGGTTTTGAGAAACTGGTATATTGAAGTCCGTATCCCATCTTTTTAACAATTTTATTAGTGATGTTGCTTCTTCTACTAATCTAGAATCCGCTTCTGAAATGTCGAAGATTTTTCTAATATGTTTTAGAAATGAACACAGAGGTGCTTCAAGACATTTTGTAATCGCTTCTCGAACACTGTCCTTCCTATGTTCAGTGATATGAACATACGTCGGTGGACTTTCCAGTTCCCTTTCACAAGCATGTTTAACATAGACAACTTGATTGAGGGAAGATGCATGTAGCCCCTCAAATGGGAGTGGTGCCTAAAACAAATATGAAGTATTTCAGTCTCAGTCTTTGTAGAAGCTAGCCTTTCTTATGTGTTTTATTGTAAACATTGGTAAATTTGACAATTTTTATTTGCCATATGCAATGTATTATGATACAGATGTAATAATACCTGTTGATCACATTTGAATTCAAAGAAGACATGAACACTTGCTTCCCAAAACTTTCCATGATTTTTCCATGTACTTTTATTCCCTGAAAGTAAAATACCTGAAGAAAAAAAGATGCTCAATCAATTTCATGAAATTAATTAAATACAGTTACTATTACTCATTATCATTATTAGACATTATCTTGATATACTGAAAAGAAAAGAAAACAGGGTAATGTATTATATGCAAAAACTTAAAGCTATATATGATGTTTTTAAGCTAAAAAAATTTTTTTTAAAAATAATCGTTAGGAAGAAAAAAAGATATCCTATTAATATAATTTGCTTTAGTTTATAAAAACAATTAAAACCCAAATTTTAAATTTACATACCTTTTCGTTTTGATAGAAGTCTCAAGTTTTCTTTTCTAGTGTCTCCAGAGACTCTTAGTTTTATTTGAGGACACTCGTGATGAAATATAGAGTAGTCCACTTGGCTTTTTACAAGCTTTTCCTCGCATGATTCATGTGCAAACTGCCTAATAAGTCTATATACATACTGGAAATGAGGAAAACTTTCGCAAGAATAATATATTTCTTTGACTTCTTTTACTACGTCTGTAAAGAAAGTTCAAGGTTCTTTTTATACTTGACCTCATTTTGTATTCTAAATTGATTTTTTTAAAAAGAGACTGCCTGTTTTCTCGTTAAAATGCATAAGAAAATGAATTCAGTATTTGTTAAATATAAATACTATCAAAAAGGACATGTTACACGACTGTCTTAAAATAAATGCCCCCATGTACTTTTTTTCAAGAAGAGTCTCATTTTTGGTTAACATTTAACTTAACAAAATTACCAGTCTCACTCTCATAATATTGCTCTCTGTGGATCAGCTGCTCTTTGTCTTCGATTTTCCAAGACAGTTGAAACTCGCTTATCATTAACGCTTCCTTTCCTAAAAGAAATGTTCGTAGAATTAAAAGAAAATTTGACGTTGTTTTATTTTAAAGAAACAAGTTGCTGTCCTTTAAAAAAGGACTGCAATACGTGGACCATATGCATGTTTTTCTAACTGAAATTCAATTAAGAATATCCATGTAGGTTTGTTCACATTTTCTACAATGATCTGCCTACAAATGACTGATTGTAGTCTCAAAGCAAAATTGTTAAATTTTTATCTCTGATTAGTGGCTTTTAGTTTTGTCAGTTTAAAAATCTGGCTACATGTATTTTGATACGTGTAACTCATACTGGCTAGGACTTGACACATCTCCTGGATTTATACGGAATAAATTTATAACGGGAAAATAGACCCCCATTAAAAACCTTTACTACAGACGTCTATCATCGATATTTAGATGGCTGAAATATTAAATTATGTTGCGAGCCTTGATACACAAAACCGGTGAAAACTTGTTATATATTTTAAAAGCTAAAACTAGTCGTTGAATGACTTTTTTCATGCATTCAAGTCTTTAAGTTCGTGTACAAGTATCTATACATATACTGCAAGTTCCTCCTACTTTTTATCTGCTTGTACCATAGAATCAATGTTTAGTTTGTATATAAAAGTATATGTAAAATAGAGAAAATCAGATCAGCCAATGAATATGTAAGGGACCAGGCAAAATTTATCACAATGATGGGACCAGTACAAAACAAAATCTTCATTTCAAAAAAGTACGTGTCCCATGGCTTTGGTATTTAAAAAAATATCTGTCCCATGCCTTGAGATTTAAAAAAAAAGTTATTGTCCCATGGTTACATCTTGGTGTTAGTGAAATGATTGGAACAAAACTGTATAGAAGGAGTCTCTCAGACTACATATATTTCAAACATCGAGAAAAATGGGGGTCTTTTTTTTTTGTTCATTTTCATCTGTTGTTATATTTTTCATTAAAATTTGCCATTTTTTATCATTCACTTCAGTTTCAAAGATATGATTTTCCCCCCGAATTTTTTTTACAAAATATAAAATAAATATTTCGATCTCTTGGGTTAAGTACTGCAAGTCATTGAAAAAAGTGTGTCCTATGGGTACTTAATGCTAAAATTGTTTTTGTCCCATGTTTTCTTTCATGAAAAAAATCATTGTCACATGCCTGTTTGTACCGGTCCCATCATTGCGATAAATTTTGCCTGGTACCTTAAAATGCGATTTGCAGATTTAAAAGCGCGATTTGCAAATGAATGGCATATTTTCATTCGAGTAGGGCGAATTATTCTACGGGCAAGTTACCTAGGTGCGAACTCTCTAGCATTCACGGGCAAGCGTAGCCTGTCGTTTGCCCATGGCATCCGGTTTAACCTCGCTTATATATTTATTGCGTGGACCTCAGGGTTCACGGAATAAACATTCTGCCCCTAACCGGGACCTCTTTTTCTTTCTAAGACACAAGCTCGATTGGAGTATTAATTCAGAGCAGCACGAACCCAATCGTGAAGCCAACTACTGTATACAGGGTTATTTTCGCCCCGTGTTATTTTCGCCCTTTCACATTTGGAAACAAGTTTGCCCGGTTTTAAATTCGCCCAGAAAGATTTTAGTTAAAGATTCTATACTATTTACTTTGAATTCGCCCCGTTTTAATTTCGCCCTTTTCCGACGAGGGCGAAAGGGGCGAAAATAAAACAGGGGCAAAAATTTCCCTGTATACAGTATAAAAGATAACTAGAAATGCCATATTGCATTCAAAAATCAATTATGCGGAAAGAAATGCAAATTTGACCTGTTACGTGTACGCATCAAGATATTCGCACTTATATTTATACCAAAAATCAGCTCATTAACTGCATGTGTAGAAATATGTGTGGAAAACCAAGTTGGACAGTCAGACAGACAGATAGACAGGGGAAACCTTAAGTTCTCTTCGGTTTTAGCGGTAGGGGACTTATGAAATACGGTACCAATTTTGAAGCATCAGATGCAACTTTCGACAAATCGTTGCCCTACACTACACGGTAATTGAGAATGGAAGTGAGATACAGTTATTTTGATATTAGTTTTAACAGAGGATTGTTACCAATACATATGTTGTAATGAAATATTTCAATTTCTAATTTTTTTCTCTGTGATAACTGTTTGAAAGTTGGGGGAAGTTATTTCTTGATAATTCTGCCGGAATGTAAATTAGGCAGGTCGATAGGTCAGCAGCTAAGGAGGACTAAAACGCATGCAAATCTCGTGCGCATCTGTCTCTGTGTCTAACGCTAAGGAGGCCAAATATGCATGTAAATCTCGTGCGGCTGCCTTTGTGTTTGACGTCAGTGTGCGAGGACAATTGAAATTGGCATGGAAGCCCTCATGTAATTTAAGTTTATTAGTCTACATATTTAATGTCTAAGTCTACAATTTTATTTCACAATGAAATGGAAATATAAGGAATCACTGTCTAGTTTTGAGAGTATGCCAGGGACATCAACAATAGTGGGAAACATGGGATAATTTTAGCATAACGGGCTTCGCCCGTTATGCAAATTATTCCATGTTTCCCACTATTGTTGATGCCCTGGCATACTCTCAAAACTAGACAGTGATTCCTTAAATTAATTATTATTTATAAAGCACATTTTACAACAACTCTATGCCGATGGAATTCTCACTTCTATTCTCAATGAACGTGAAGTGTAGGGCAGCGCTGTGAGAATTCCATCGGCATCAAAAGCAAGTTTTTTGACTTGCCTTGCCTAGATAGCCGAGCGGTCTAGTGCGCTGTTCCTGCACTGCTAGGAGACAGATTCCGAAGGTCGAGAGTTCAACCCCGGGCTTGGGCGGAAGTGGATATCCATGTAAAAGTGAATTTCTTCGTGCTTTCTACATTAATATCTCTTCACTTAGGGGAGTTATGTTAGTTTAAGAGTTGTTGTAAAATATACGTTGTTTTATGGATAAATGTTATGCAATTGATCTCTAAAGTTTTCTTTTGCTATATTTTGCTAGTTATGAGGGGGTATATAATAAATTTATCATTATAACAGTAACTTGATCCGAAGAGCCGTATCACGTCTCGTTGACAGGCGCGGATCATCAGATCAAACTCGACGCTTCGCGTCTCGTTAGATCTGGTGATCCGCGCCTGTCAACTCGACGTGATACGACCCTTCGGATCAAGTTACTGTTATAATAATATATATAGATCTATGAAAAAAAAATAACGTATAAAAGAAAATAACGTGACTGCTCCGTATCGCCCGATCATGTTCTTTCAGCCGACAAGACCATAAAAATTGAGTCGCCCGACCATCGGCTCAAATGTGACCTAGACATAACAGTTTGATTTTAACCGTCGGCTGAATTTTAGAAACCCTTGTTGTCGAGACGGACGGCCGACTTGATAAACTGAACGCCAATAGTCGGTGGATGATCGAAGGTTGGTCGACGGATTGCTTCAAATGAAAAAAAATTTGCCATCGACGCAGACAAAATTAAAACTTGGACCGATGGACACAAAATTAGTCCCCAACCAAAAAAAGAGAGATCAAAATTGGGCAACTGACGACTGCCACCCAAATAATCAAATAATTTTTTTGGCTTCAAAAACTGTCGGCCGTTAGTCGTTTCTGGAAATATGACTAGGGATATTTTGTCTCTGTCTCTCTAGAACTGTTCCTACCATACGTGTTATCCATATCTTCATCCTAGTAAAAAAAAAAAATTTTAATAAGCTTGCATGTTAGACTAGAGAGAAAGAGAGAGAGAGAGAGAGAGAGAGACAATTAAGGTTGGTCTGTTCTTTCAAAACTTTCTGTCAAACTGATTTTTTTTCAATGTATGAAAATGTCATAAACTAACTAAGACATCCATAAAATCCTCACAGGTTAATTTTCAAACAACATATCTTCGAGTACATACCTCTAAATAACCAACAGCCAAAATTGAACAGCGTTATCATATTTCATTTAGTTGTGTACCAAATTACATCAAATTTTTGTCAAAAATTATGAAAATCAAAAACATCACTTTGCCAAGAGAATATTCGAAATCTTTATTAGATTTCATTAACAAACTGATGTTGAATCTGTCCACGTCTTTAAGGAAAGAAAATCTAGAAATATCTATATTTTTTATAATTCTCAAAATCTTAACTGTTTATATGCCTTTTTTTTGTAAAATTATTAAGAATTCTATCTAAGTTAACAAAAGCAAATACTATCTTATGGTTGACCAGAAAAATTTAACAAAACATCCTTTTTAACACGTATACCCCCAGTTTTGGAGTGTAATTTTTCAATCATTCTTTGCAATTTTTTTCTAAAGTAAAATTAAAAAGATTATGTAGGCTTTAAATCAATACAATTAGACCTCAAGTTAGTTTGTTTATAAAAACAAAATTAAGAGCATTAGGCCCATAAAAGCAAAGAATAGTTCTGTGTCTTTGTACTAAAGATCCTATATATGGACAGAGTGCAAAGTGTTAATTTCCATAGGTATCGTATATTAAATACTTCGTATACATAATGACACAATAGATAAATATATACTTGCTAAATTATTTTCAATCATCCAAAAATATCTTATTTCAATAGACAAGCGATAATCAGAATTTTATATTAGTGTGTAGATTTAAAACCGGATCCGTAAAAGTATGGACCTTCCTTAATCAGAAAATGCACACATTTTAATTATTCTTTTTGTCATAATGTAACAATGAGAAAAATTAATACTTACTTGTGCACCATGTTTACAGTGATGAGCCATCTCTTAAGTACAAGAGTATACCATTTGATCTCAAAGAAGCCACTCTGCCATCTGATGGCAAGAGAAAAACATGAGGCATTATATGCTGATTTCTGGTGCGGTCGAAGAATACCCAATAGAGAACGGTAACAATTAAAGAATTGTTAACCTTTCTTTAGCATCTGATTCAACATCTAAAATTTTTAGGGGTCTGTGTTTCTTCCCATTCAGATTGATTGATGTATAATACGTTCATCTTTATGATCTTTGCCTCTGCTATGGAATTGTTAACCTTTCTTTAGCATCTGATTCAACATCTAAAATTTTTAGGGGTCTGTGTTTCTTCCCATTCAGATTGATTGATGTATAATACGTTCATCTTTATGATCTTTGCCTCTGCTATGGCATTCTAAAAACAATAACCTCATAGTCCTCTACCAATCAGATTAAAGTCGGATTGGTCCTTTACCAGACAATAGCAGGAATACATGCTTTAAATATTTACAAAAACTGATATCTGATTTAATATGTATGATAAATCAGGTGTTCAAAATATTGACAAAAACCTATATTGAGGTTATAAAGATGTTTTTTTACACAGTCACGTACTGTGAACTGATTTAAAGAATGATTGTATTGTTAGGATTGTTAAAATGACGTAAGAAATATAGACATCCTAAAATAGATAACTTTGGTAGCGTAACTTTGCCAAATTATTTGAGGCAGTAGGCCAATAAAGCACTTATACATTTCTTCTACTTCTTTAGCTAGTAGTGTTTGGAAATTGGGGCTGCACTTCGATTGATTAAATTGACCGGGACAGCCGAATGCAAGGATGCTTATTTCATTGTAAGAATGTATTTTTGGTGCCTTATTGATGAAATCGGAGAAGAAGTCCAACTGTACATTTCCACTTCGTCCATCCTTCTGTCCGTCCATCTGTCTAGCTGTCAGTCTGTCCCTTCGACTGCCTATCAGTCATGTGGTTTTTCGCATTTTTTTTTCGAAATGCCAGCAATTAGTTAGCTGAATTTTGGGTATGTGTATCTTGATAATTTAATTCCAGTTTCTTTCCGCTTCATTGATGTTTGACAAATTATGATATTTTTAATAATTAAGACTTTTCCGCACTTTTTTCTGTAAATGCTTGCTGATTTTCGACATGCCTGTGTATCAACGGTCAAATATAAAAAGTCAAGGTAACTGCATTCGAATTTATTTATTTATTTTTTAATGGAAACATGTTTGTTTGTAAAACACTTGTTTGTTATTAAAACAAAAATTTGAGATGAATGAGACTGTAGTCTAAATTCATTAAAATGACTTTTATGTCGATGTTTTCAGGAAATTGCAGTTAAACTCTAAATGTTTTATTTAAAACTATAAATTTTATTTGATAAATAACTTAAATTTGGAAAGAGTCACCTACTTAAAGCTCAGTTTAATCAAATTTTATGCTGAACATTTTTGGAATACCTGTTTATTGCCTTTAAACATGACAGTAAAAAATAACATTATTTTGTTTATATTGATATTACTATTAAAGTTTTTACTAATTTATTTTGTATTTCAAGAAATATTGTTGTTGTATTAATTTATTTGAATACCACTTAAGAAAAATCTAGAATCTGTTATTTTAAAAGCCACACATAGTTTCTCTTAAAATCATTGTTTTATTCTTCATAATCACTGACTTTGCAAGTTTCTCGAAGTTTAGTTACTAAGATTAGAATATGGGCTATGTAAACAATGGTTACATCATATAGTTTCAATTTTTAAATATATTGTTGAATTTCGTAAACGCATGACTTTTAACAAACTTCATAAGAAGACCTTGCGATTCTTTGATGAACTACATGAATAGCTATAAAATATTATTAAGGACAAATGCAAAGTAGATAGAACTTAATCGTCCCTGGAGTTGAAGAACCCCATACTTGTTTTCTGCATGTCATTGTCCATATGTGTGTTGTACACTACTTAAAAACAGGTGTAGATAAACAAAACAACTACATTATGTGCTTCATAATTTTTGAATATTTTTATTTGAATTATATTTTAAAAACCCCTGGTAATATATACGCTGATTTTTTGTCTACAAAAATCTTATGGCACCATAATAATAAATTAACGATATCTGGAAAAAGCATTTTATTGTTTTATTTAGATGAAGGCAGCCAGAATATTGGTGACCTACAATACTTCTAAATTCATTTTCCCTTTGACTATATCATGCTTAGATTGATTAGTACATTGTAAATCATTTTGTGAAACATGAAATACATCTGATGAATGATCATTTTACATGAAAAAAAAAATTCAGGGATTCTTGCTATTTTTTTTTTGGGGGGGGGAGGATCGAATATTTCCTGCACGCGAATAAAAGTTGGTTTACAGTACTTGATATGTTTTTTTCAAAGTGCGTCAAATTTTGGACAACATCAACGTACTTTGTAATTTTTTTTTTCAAAGTGCGTCAAAAGTGAACATCAACATTCTTAGCATGAAGGCACTTAAAAAAATGTATTTAAACTAAAACTTCCAGACTTTTAGCTATAGAGAGCATTTTCCCCTTACATTTCTTTCGAAAACCAGATGAATTGATCTATCATCATCGAGAATTGAAAGGGGACAGGTAGAAGGACCCTCTACAATATTAATTTCTTTATCGTTCCTGACCATATATAAGTATTTATAATTTTCTCCTTAACATTAAGTTAACGTAAAATAATGAAAAAAAATAATACGATTTCCTTTAAAAAATAATACCGGTAATAGCGCACCCTCTTGTTCTGTTGAAGAGAGGCTCGGGAGCCACATCGCTGATCAAAGCAACAAAACTTCGGCCAAAATGATCAAAAATTCTAATACACATCAACATTATAAAAGGCATAAATATTTTTTCATACAACTTTAAGAATAATCTATTTAAATAACTGTAAAATAAAGGCCATCATCTTGCACAGAAATCAGAAAAAATGATACTTCTAAAAAACTTATCAAATAACTTTTAAAACCCGTTAATCTCAGATCATGAAGTGAAGTCATCAACAATATGTTATTCATGAACCAGCTTCAAGCAATTTTTTATCACTTGCTAAAAGATTGACTACTTTAAGTCGTGCACACATTTTTTTTCAGAGTGCCTTAATATGGTCGATATTCACGCACTTTGGAAAAAATTTCAAAGTGCGTTAACTTGGTCCAAAATTTAACAGGAATCATAATTTTTTTTTTCAAAGTGCGTTGTAACAGAGCCCCCTGCCTACCGGTTAGATCCGCCGGGTGGTCCTTGTCATGATCAAGAAATAATGAAAAATCCGTCGTCAATTCAGTGTGTAGATTATGACCAAACAACTGGTATTAGTATGAAGAACGTCAGTCATCATTTGACTTAATGATAGACTGAATTTGCTGACATGGTTATTGTATCGACTACAAGAACTTACGAAATGATGACTTCAAAAGAGACTTCTTATACATGTAATCTTGTTTATCAACCTGTTTGTCAATAATTAACGTCGTTTAAGAACATCTTCACACGGGAGCTCGTGCTTACGTATAGAATCAAAGATGTAAACCTTATATGCAGGTGATGAAGGTATATTGCTTCATAAGTAAGGGAAGTTAACGATTGACAAGTTAAAGTCATCACGTTAATTTTTCAAGGAAAATATTCAAATACAAGAGGCCCATGGGCCACATCGCTCACCTGAGCACTGTGGCTGGGAAAAAGTAGGAATTGGTTTATTATTGAATAGTAAATATCCAAAAGTAGTTCCATGACCAATCATGGCTTTGCTATTCTTGATAAGGTGATTTTTAAAGAATTTTCCTATATCTGTCTATGTAAAACTTTGATTGGCCATTGTGGCATGTGTCATGATTTGAACAAACTCGAATCTACACTACCTGATGATGCTTCCATATAAATATGATCAATTATGGCTTTGCTATTCTTGAGAAGAAAATTTTTAAAGAATTTTCCTATATATTTCTGAGTAAAACTTTGACCGGCCATTGTGGCCCCGCCCTATCCCCAGGGGTCATGATTTGAACAAATTTGAATCTACACTATCTGATGATACTTCCATATAAATATTTGAATAAACTTGAATCTACACTACCTGAGGATGCTTCCATATGAAAATGATCATTTATGGCCTTGTTATTCTTGAAAAGAATATTTTTAAAGAATTTTCCTATATATTTCTATGTAAAACTAAGGTTGGCCATTATGGCCCCGCCCTACCCCCGGGGGTCATGATTTGAACAAATTTAAATCTACACTACCTGAGGATGTTTCCCCATAAGTTTCATCTTTCCTGGCACAGTGGTTCTTGAGAAGATTTTTAAAAGATACCACCAAATTTTCATTAATTCCCAATTATCTCCCCTTGAATGAGGGCGTTGTCCTTCATTTGCTCAAACTTGAATCCCCTTTACCCAAGGATGCTTTGTGGCAAGTTTGGTTGAAATTGGCCCAGCGGTTCTTGAGAAGAAGTCGAAAATGTGAAAAGTTTACAACGACAACGACGACAACAACGATGACAGACAACGGACAAATTGTGATCAGAAAAGCTCACTTGAGGTTTTGGCTCAGGTGAGCTAATAAAACATTTTTGCCAGACTCTGTTGTATCTTATCGACATGAGAATGGAAACAATACATCCTTGATATAAATTTCAAGTTGAAGGCAACAGCAAGTGTTTTCCTCCCTTGATGTATATGTTTTAGAACAAATTCTTCTGTATAAGAAAGAAAAAGAATAAAACAAAAATATATCAATAAAGCATAACTTTTCAGTTATAAATCGCTTTGAAATTGGTGAAACTTGGAAAATATTAGTAATATTTCAATAACAAATTTCAGAATCTGTTACCTTGGTGCTAAAAGTGTAATTTAAACTTTAGAAAAATATACCAAGCCAGGTGAATTTTAAGAGGAAGATCAATATGACAAAAATTAACAATATCACGTAGGCTGATTTTTAACATTTAGGTTTTCCTAATAAAATTCAC